ACCGTGAGATCATGACCTGAGCTGAACCAACGCTGTTAACTGATCGAGCCACCCAGTCACCCCCATTGTTGTTTCATTTTTTAAATAAAAAGCACCACTACCTTCCTGCTCAGAAATGAATGAGATGTCAACAGTGGTGTACAGCCCCTGGAGAACACAAGGCATGCCTTTCCTGCATGTATATAGTGGGGCCAGTGGTCATGTTCCTTAAGAACTAGGCCACGGGAATGTTTTCAAAGCAAGCTGCAGCTGCTTTCTATGTATGCAGGTCTCCTCAGCCCTCAAAATCATCGCATGCATAAAATAATTTTATGAAATCACATCTCAAGGTTCTCTGTTCATATTCATTTTCTGCTCGCTCATTCATTTTGCCATCTGTGGGAACTCATTAGCACACAAGCTGCAGCAGGTGCCAACGGTTTAAAAAAATTATGGGGGAAAACTTGAAATTGATCAAATCCTATCTATCTGTTCTTTTTCCCTCCTGTAAATTGAAAAATGACAGCCATTATGCCATTTTAGGAGAAAAAGTGTTGGTTGCTCCTTGTGGTGCTGTGGCCCTTTTGAGGAGGAAAGGTTGGCACTTTCCGGACCAGGGAATCTTTGCATAGCCTCAGGGCCTCCCTAGGGGATTGCAGGTGGGCTCTGGGGGTCCATAACCCTCCTATAATAAAACTGTATGCAAAATTGCATGTATATCTCCGTGACGATGTGCATTTTTTCCCCCGGGGAGAAAGCTCATAGCTTTCACCTTATTTTGAATCCAAACAAGATTAGGAATCAATGTTTTACAGGAAGAAAAGACAAAGTATTTTCCTTAGCTCATTGAATCCTCATAATTACCTGGAAAATCAGGCATCATTAAATACTTGTTTAAATGCCTGACCCCCATTCTCAGCCTACGTTCATAGGCTGTTAGAGTTGGGGCATGCCAAAGGATTATTTGTTTGTTTCTCACCCCCTCTTCTTATTTAGAGGGAGAAACTGAGGTCCAGAGAAGTGAAGTAGGTTGTCCAAAGTCATATGGTCAGTTTATTGCAGAAATGGATTGGAAAGTCAATTCTTCAACTCCCTGTCCAAAGCTTGTGCCACTGCTGCTGTACTCTTGCAAAGTCAGTGAGCAGAGTTCCGCAAATGTTAAAGTGAAGTAGTAAGAGACTGTCCTCCTCCCACCTGCCCTCAGGCTGGATTGGTTCCCACTGACCTGTTTCTTGATCCCCAGGGACTTTCTGGCCCCAAACGCACCCAACCTATTAGCCCTAGGAATATACAGATGCATGAACAAGATGATTCCAAGTGCCAGGATCTCAGATGAATGGAATAAACCAAACCTTGGCTGGGAAATATCGTCATAGACACTGGGAGGGCAGGGGAAAGAGCTGAAGGGCTTTGGCGACAACACACCCCTCATTCTTTGCACCTGCCTGTCTCTCAGTGGTCATTTTGGACAGTTTCCCCTTTCCTTTCTTTGCTTGGATTCCCTGGACCTATGTTAGTGGTGTCCTTGCTCTAGTGCCCCCAACCCTCATGCTTGGCATGTGCTGTTCTCTCTTCCTTCCATTGCAGAACTTGTAGTCATCTGTTTACTTGTCAGGATTCCCTGCTCAGATGGTAAATTCCTTGGAGGCAAGTGCCTGGCACATACCGGACAGCCAATCAATGGGAGTTGAAATAAATAGTGATCCTGTGTTATTCCTGTGTTTCCCCTTCCTAGATATGCCAGGAAGCTTGTTCTAGGCAGCGTGCACTGCCCTGGCTGTGAGTGGATCAGGGCAGGCAGCATCCATGGCCTCTCAGAGCCCCCTTTTTTATTCTGTGTTGGGGAGATCATGCACTGATGTTTTCTGTAGGCCCTCACCGCTGCTTTTAGTCGAATTCCCAAAATCAAACGAAAACTTTTGAGTTTGTGGAGGAAGAGGTTCCAGGTTTCTCCTTGGGTCTCTATGGTTAGGCAGGCTCAACTGAGCAAACACAGGTACCCACCAAGATCACACCTCTGGGTGGTGTCTGCCTCCCCCTTCCACCTTCCCAGATCACCAAGAACCTTTCTCCAGAGACCCTCTGTGGTCCTTTCTTACCAGGCATGGTCATGAAGACTCTTACAAAAATAGCTGCAAGCTGGAAAGTGGAAAATAAAATAACTCGGTTCCTCTCTGCCAAATACAACAAAGCAACAGTGTGTAAGCAGCCAGCTCAGTCCCTGGCATGGCTACTCACAGAATTACTTATTCCCTTTCCTCTCCATAACTGCAGCCAGCTCCACTGATTCTATTTCTGAAGTTATGTGCCATTATTATTGATTGATTGATTGATTGATCAGTTGATCTGGCCCTGATAATTCTACCTTGTGGTTTGGGCTGATGACTGTTCCAAACACCTGGCTTTCCTGTCGTCCTTTGGGTCACTGTCAAAAATGTGCCACATCCCTGAATCTCTTCCGTCTACCAATGTCACCGGGTCTTCACTAAGGAAATGATTACACGCATGACTACTTGTTTGAAATGATAAGAAAAAGACACCTTACCCTTCCCAAGAATTCAGGCCTACCACTGTGTCTTTGGTTAACAACTGGTTAATAACAATCAGCAGATGGCTATTAATTAACTCTTTTGAATTTCCTATCTCTTTCCCTTTAAACTGGGTAAGTATGTAGGCCTGCTCCACGATGAACAAAACCAGAATCCCCAAATCGGAAGGGGTGTGTATGTAGGTGAGCCTTGAAGCAATCCAAATCCATTAGAATATTCTGTGCTCCGTCACAAATTGATCTGAAGGATTTTTTTGTTTTTTTTTTTAAGGAAGCCGGAAATCCAATGAAGCAGTTCAGATTGCAACTTAAGCTATAGATTTTTAAAACATTTATGAAACCGTTAAACTGGAACAAGGCAGAAACCTCCAATGGATTCCCAACTCACTGATTAGAAATTTCATTTGTTCCTGTCCCTGATGGGAGCAGTTTGAGGGGTCTAGGCACCAAAAAGACATTTTCCATCCTGATGTAGTGAGGTGTGTGTTTGTCGAAGGAGAGGGACTTCCACACTCCCTGGGAAAGTCTGGAAGAATGATTACTTTCAGTGCTTCTTGTTTTGCATCACCTTGGTGGGTCTAGAATGGAATTATGAGCCTGGGAGCTTGGGAGTATAGCTTTGGCATGGCCACCGATTCCCTATGTGACACTAGGCAAGTTGCTACCCCCATCCTGGGTCTGCTCATTTGGAAAATGAGAGCCATAGTCTATATGGTCCAAAGGGCCTTTGGTAGGTAGAATAATGGCCCTCAAAGATGGCCAAGTCCTAATCCCTGAAACTTGTGAATATATTACTCTACGTGGCAAAAGAGTCTTTGAAGTGAGTGATTAAGTTAATGACCTTGAGATGCGGACATTATTATGGGTTATCAGGAAGGCCTGTTCTAATCACAAGAGTCCCTAAAAGGTGGAAGAGAGAGGCAGGAGAGTGATTGGGATAGAGGGAGATGTGACCCAGGAGGTCACAGTTGTGTGATGTAAGGACTCCATCCATCATTGCTGGATTGGCTGATGGAGGAGGAGGCCACCAGCCGTGGAATGTGGGCGGGCCTCTAGGAGCTGGAAAAGGTGAGGACATGGTTTCTTCTCCAGAGCCTTCCGAAGGAACACAGCCTTGCTGACACTTCGATTTTAGCTCAGGGGAAACTGTGTCATTCTGACCTCCAGAACCCAAAGACAATAAATTAGTGCTTTAAGCCACTGCGTCTGTGGTAATTTGTTACAGCAGCGACAGAAAACTAAAGCAGGGTGCCTTCCAACAACCTTGCATTCAGTCCCTAAGGATTAAAGCCCAGCTTTGCCAACAACCTTGGGCATCCTCCCGCTGAAAGTGTGCTTGGGAGGGGGCATCTTAGGGATGCTGCATCCCATCTGCCTCCTGGCCACCGCATGTGTGTGAGTGTGGCTGGTTTGAAGTGCCCTCCCACGCAGTGGGAGTAGAGTTTCCTGGCCTCAAGTCTGAAGGGGCCTCTGGAGATCCTCTGCGAAGACACAGGTACAGTATTATTTTCATCCTCAAATTGAGGGAACTGAGTTCAGAGAGGAGCAGGTGTCCATTATCACACAGCTGCAGGAGGGCACTCCTCACTCCTGCCACCAGGCTTTTCTCAGTTGGCCACTGGGGAAATACGTCTTCCTTGTCCTAGTGGGTTGGCCGGGGAGGTAGGAAGAGGGGGTTGAGAGTGAGAGACTAGAAGGCAGAACAAGGGCCAGAGCCCTGAAGTCCTGGGCCAGCCAGTGTTTTCTGTGCATCTGAGCATAGGGAGGAAGGCACAAACCGAACGAGGCTCTAGGGGAGACCTTGAGTTGATAGTGATGGGGGAAGTAGGGAAAGGGAAGGTTAGGCTACAGGCACTGTCACCTTTGAGTTAGCATGATGCCATGAAGACAAAGATTCTGCCTGGACAGGAGGTTCTTTCTTGCCCCAGTGGGAGCATGAAAGGGCATGCCCTCTCCCCACCTCCACCCTCCTATCCTGCCTGGACATCCTCTCAGCAGTAGTGGGGAGGAAGGCAGAAAGCCAGTGTGGCCTATGCAGGGACAGGCATGGGACAAGCCAATGGGAGTGAAGAGGTGGGGTGCAGAGAGTCTGGAAAGGCTGGTGTGTGGGAGGGAGGCCAGCTTGATTTCACAGACAGGGGAGAGGAGTCAGGACAGAAATGCAGAGGGACGGGAAGACCTCCTTCATGGTTCTTAGGTCTGGGCCACATGCCTATGGTTCAGGGCAGTGTCGTTCAGACGGGAGGCTGTGACTCATTAGTGCTCATGAGATCATTTACAAGGTTGAGATCAATAATATTTAGAGATTTAGAATAGAATGTAAGTGCATACCGTCTATACACTTTGCAAAGGTACGTGTGGTTGTAGGAAACTTTACATGGACATAACCTGTGGGTTTTACAGGCCTGGCCCTTTGGAAAGGCTTTGCGGAGCGAGACCTGAGTAATGGGGGGAAAGGCAGCATCGACTCGGCTGTTTCCACAAGACCAGCTTTTAATATGACCGTGACTGGAAGCACGAATAAATAAACGCCAGAGAAAATGGAAAAACCAAATCAAACCAAACCTCAGAACATCAAAACCCAAATCTAGAAAACGAAACAAACGAAACAGATCTCAGACAGACAAAACAAGCCCCCCAAAGAAACAGAATCGGACTGTACAAGCCAGGTCACGGGGACAGCAGAATGACGCGGGTCCCTTGGATGAGCACTGGAGTTGCCCAGGCCACCCTGTCTCCACCGGGTGCTGGGATAGGGGTGGGGGTGGCCCCAGTCAGCCCACGGGCCAGCTCGGGGAAAGGGGTTTGTAAAGAACCTTCACAAACTACACAGGGACCAGACGTGGCTGAGAGTTCCGCGCGTTTCCTCTTGGCCGTGCAGTTGTGATTCCAGCATGGCCACGGGGTGACTTTGAGGCTGGAACCTGGTCCCACTGCACGGCTTCAGGGTGGCCGGTGGAAAGCGCATGGAGGAGAGTCATGTACAGAGATGGACGTGGAGGTGGCGCCGTGAGCAGTCTGAGCATGCAGGTGCTTTATACATCTGGCAGTGAGATGTGATTGATGGCAGGTTGGTTCTCGGACAGTTCCAGAGTGTGACTCTTTTCTCCTAAGAGGGAGGCACGGCAGGGCCCGAGGACGCGTCGTGGCACGCGTGGCCGCAGCGAGGTTTTGGCAGATAGTTTGCTATGTGTGCATAGGGGGCTCTTACTTCTTTCTGTCATCAGGGGCCATCCCACCTGAGCCTGCTGTCCCCTGTCCTGGGTCTTGGGCCTCAAGGTCTGTTTGGGGTTGGGGGGGTGCCGGGTGGTCCACGGGCTGTCAGCAGGCAATCTCCTCCAAGGTCCCCAGGGCTGTCTGCAGGGGCACATTCACAGTGTGGCTGATGGTTTCAGAGTGGTTTGGCATCGTGTCACAAGTGCTCTGGAGGGAAGGAGACAGTGGGTGTTGAGATTCATTCTGCAAAATGTCATCACAATGCCCCTGGCAGCCCAGCCTGGGGACTGTGGTCCCGGTTTGTGGGCTTCCCCAGGTGCTGCTGCCCCTGCCCCAGGCATCTCAGGGGCTGGCTTGCTGTTGTGGGCCATGAGGCTGGAGGGGCCTCGCCACCTTCAGGATCCTCACCATTGCCCACCTAGGTGCCCCCAGGGTGGGGACCGGGCACCCTGGTGATGGGGTTTAGCAGCAGCCCCTGATATGTCACCCAAAGCTCCATCTGAGTGCTCTCTGGCTTCGAGTATGACCTGCCCTCATCCTGGGGTTCTCCCTGGAGGCCTTCCTGGGTGGAGGAGGACCAGCCTGTGGCTAGGCTGGGGGCACGGGGTGCCAATTGCTGAGGCCAAGGAGGAAGTGGGGAGGCCCCCCACCAGCCAGAACCAGAGTAGTCATGGCTCCCTAGTGGACCTTTAAGGTTAGGCTGGCCCCTGGCAGTCTCAGGTCCCTGGACAGGGTGGGGCTGGGGGGCCAGCCTTGAGCTTTCCCAGTGACTCCCATGCTGCGGAGGGCTGGCGGCTGGGATGGATGGGAGCAGAGAGACAGCGGCCAAAAATGTGGGGGAGATTTGATGAGGCTGAGGTGGGGGGAGGCAACAGAGGTTGAGCACTTACTATAAACTAGGCACTGCTGATTGTTTTATAGGCATGGTCCCACTTAATCCAAATGACAAGTCCCTGAGGTGCCTGTGATTCTCCAGATGCTCAGGGAGGTAAACCATTTGCCCTCAGGCATTCAGCTGGGAAGCAGGGACCTGAGTGCAGAGCCTGGGACCCTTTCCACACTCCCTTCCCCTCAACAGATGCTGTCTTCTATTCAACAGAGGCTGCAGGGGCCTGGGAGAACCTAAGCGGAGATTTTTTCACTTGGGAGACAGGTAGAGACATGGTGTCTGGAATGGAAATGGGGGCTTTCTGGGGGGAAGGGGCTAGGATCATTTTGGATTTATTGACTTCAGGGAGCGATGGCTGCCTCACGTGCCTAGAGTTCTTCGGGCAGAAGTCTCAGCCGGGGAAAGCCAGAGATACCTGCACCAGGTGGCTGAGGCCAGAGCCCGGGAGCAGACAGAGTTTGGGAAGGAGAGCGGACAGCCATGAGAGGTGCTGCCTCTCTGGCTGCTCGAGGGAAGAGAGGCAGAGTAGGATGGTGGTCAGGGGAGCTCTGTGTCCAGCTCTGCCCCCCATCAGCTGGGTGACCTTGACCTTCTGGGCCTCAACGGCCTCAAGTACAAAACGGAGGGAAGAACAGACCTTTCTCCAGGGTAACCGTGCAGCTGAAATTACATGGTACATGTGAGGCCCGCAGCACGGTGCCTGACGTGTACCTGGCACTCAATAGTAGTCAGTTACGTGGGTATTACTGCGCTACCAACCTCATGGGGCCCCAAGCTCCATGTCCTCTTCCAAAGGAGGAGAGCGCCAGTGACATCCTCACTTGCATCTTGCAACCCTAAGAATAAGGGAGTGGAGCCTCCCTGCTTCCCACAAGGCATGAGATGAGAGCAGTAATGCTCCAGCCCAGGAGAAGTTGGACTGGGCCAGGTATCGACTGCGATCCATGGCTTGTTATCAGGCTCTGGTGGGGTCTCAGAGAGAGCCCTGGGGCTCCGTGGGAGTGTCTTTGGACAAGCTGAGTTAAGGCATGCTGTAAGGTGTGTCTCCCCCCGGCCCCAGGTCCTGACCTCTGGTCTCACATGGCCCTGCAAGAGGAGAGAAACAGAGCAACGTAGAGTGCAGTGGCTGCTCTTACCACGTTCTCATCGTGGCTCCCTTCGTCCTCTTCTTTACCAAGCAAATCTAAGAGCTTCTCTTTGATCAGCTGCAAAAAATCAGGATAGAGTTGGTAAGGATGGGGATACTGTACAGAGGTAGAGCTCTGGGAGCCCCTGCCCAATCTTTTGGCTGAAGTGAGGTTTCAGTGCAGGAGCTAGAGCCTGGAGGAGGTCACAGGAGGCCCCAGCTGGCACGGGGACTGTCTTCTCTTGTGGAAGGAGAGTGTGGATGGGCAGCCTGGGAGCCCCTTTCTGAGGCGGGGCCTGGGGGAGGAGATTACCAATCGCTTTCCAGGCCAGAAAGGCCCACTGTTCCTAAGATCAGGGTACCCCCGAGTCCCTAACATTTGATTCTTAGCAACAAGGGGCAGTTATCAAACATGTTACTTGGCCTGATGCAATTTCTAGAACTTTATACAGCTCTTTGCAAAAAATAATAAACAAAGCAGAATAAGATCTGGCTATGGGTGATTTAGGTTTAGGGAACAAGGTCACCATGCTGGGAGGTGGAATATGACACTCCAGAGGTCCCTGGTCCCTGGGGTCCTCCAGCTCCCCACAATGGTTTCCAGGGGCCTTTGGCCAAGGACAGCCCTCTCTGGGAGTCAGAACACTGCTCTGACGTCTCTTCTTGCTGGAGTGAAACTCAAGTGGTCCTGGGGACACTGGAGTCCCCTTAGGAATTCTGGAGACACTGGAGCCAGCCCAGCTCTGGAGGATGTGGTGAGGGGGCTGTGGGAAGGAAAGGCCGAGGAGCACAAGAATTCTCAGAGACGGAAGCTACTGTCCATTGTTTGAGGTGCTTTCAGAGGCTCCATTCCAGCTGCCTTTTGAGGGAGACATCTCAAGCTGTGAACAGCCAAAAATGGCCTGTGTGCCTTTGTTCCTCAGAATTGATGAAGATTGCCAGGAAATGCCCCTTCTCTAAACCTGCCTACACCAGGACAGGCACTACTCAGGTGACGGGCCACCCAGAGCACCCGTGTGCGTGTGTGTGTGTGTGTGTGTGTGAGCGCACGCGTGCTGGTAGAACATAGAGTATATGCGTGCATGTGTATTTATGAGTGATGTGTGTGACTGTGGTACAGTGTGTGTGAGTGGTATGTGTGGGTGGTATGTGTGTGGTGCTGTGAGTGTGTGGGTGCAGACACACACATGTATGAAGCCACCACAGCTGGTCTTGCGTGGGAGGGGCTCAGAGCTAGTCTCAGTTCTGGCTCTTCTCCTGGATGCTTCCTCCCTCTCCCTGCAAATGTGGACAGCCCACGGCTCTTCCAGCTGCCTGGGGATAGGACTGTGGCTTCTTTCTCTCTTGCATCCACCCCCTCCTCCCTGGCTAGGACTTGGTGATAGACAGTATCTGCAGATGGGGAGGAGAAAGCAGGCTCTGGGTGGAAAGAGGCCATCCTCTCCCCCATGCATCAGGGCAGGGTGAGGGTATCAGCATAGTCATTTAGCCATGAACAACCCCAGTCTTACCTCGTAAATATAATCAAAGAGCTCTAGTATTGTAAGGATACTAGCACCAATAAACAATCCCATCTGACCACCAATATCACCTGGAGAGAGAAAAGATCAAAGATTTGGCTTTCCTCATAGTGCTTCTAGGAAGGAGTGAACAGACAAAGAACTCAGAAACCAGACTTCCCACGGGGGCCTTGGACAGGTCAGACCCTGAACAACTCCCTCCCTCATTGCAAAGTGGGTGCCAATGTGGATGAGAATTAATCCAGATCCTTACTGAAGGGTCTACAGTAGACCTTACAGGCTAACGGGCTTATTTGATTACCTTCAGAACCACACTGAGTGGGCCCCGCTTTGGCTCTGGGCTGGGAATAGAGACAGGAAGTATGTGGTCCTGGCCTGGGGAGAGGAAGTGGAGTCCAGGACTCACGTGTCAGGTGCCTTGGGTGTGGGTCTCAGGTACAACGGTCCAAGAGACCTTCTACTCACCCAATCATAATGAAGCCTACAGGGTCAACTCAGGGCACCTCTCACCCTTGGGATAAGGTCATAGGAAGCATCCCCAATGCCCCCATTTGAAGGTAAATGCTCACTTCGGTCTTCAAAGATGTTCTTGCTGGAGAGTATATAGGCCCCACTGACCAAAGTGTTTATTGACTGGTCTTCAGGTCCCCTCTTGGGAGACCTATATTCAGTATAGATGTCTGGACCTGCCCCAGGTCTATAAAATCAGAATCTCTGATTCTGGGGTCTGGAAGTCAGGATTTTTAAATTCCCAGGTGATTCTCCAACCCACCAGGGTTTGAGAACAAGTCTCCTGTGGGAGTTGCAGATGGTTGGGGACCCTTTGGAAATGAATGCAAAACATTACATGAGTGTACCCGGGCATTTGTAGGATGTACCTGTTTGAGAAGCTACTATCAGATCCATCAAGGGTCCCCCCAAAAGCCCAAATGCTTTGCTCTGGAGGTCAGTGTGGTCGAACAGAGAGCTCAGAGTCTGAATTTGGAGAGTGGCTACCAGCTTGCTGCGTGCTTTTGATAAGCCCTGACCGTCTCAGGAGCTTTGCCTTCAAAGGACATTTGGTGGTGGTGGAGGGGAGTGGAGGAGAGAACTGTGAGATCCTTGCTAGGGGAGCCTCTAAGACTGTTAGCTTCTGGGCTGGGCAGGGAGAGTCTGGGAAAGGGGGTTTTCCGGGGTAGAGGGCACAGTCTTACTGGAGATCCCACACCGACCTTGTGTTCTGGGAACTTTCTGTTGGCCACATCTGCTCTCTCTGATTACAATCCCTGATCATGGCTGAGTGGAGTCCAACAACCACAGTCCCAGGCAGAGAGGGTGGGAAGGGGGCTCTTCCTGGGGAGGCTTGGTGCTGGGCTCCAACAGTTCTCCTCACTCCTCTCCCCCTGCTCTCTCTCGGACGCCCTTCTTGGAGACGTTACTGGGGAATGTGTACTTACAGATGTTCATGTCAGGTGTGAGGTGCATGTCTGCACATGCACACAGTGTGCGTGAGTATGGGTTATGTGCGAGGGTACTCTGCGTGTGTGCACATGCTTGTTTGGAAGCAGAAGCATGTCTGGCTGTTGGTGGCTTTATGCAGGTGGCTATTTATGTCTAGGGTAGGGACACTGAGATCCTAGTGTCTGTGAGGGTGCCTTTGTGGGTGGTGGGCAAGAGTGTGTCTGAGTGTGCAGAACCTGTGTGAGCACGTGTGTATGTACGGGCAGTAGTGTGAGGAATCTGTGGGCACGCAGTGCATATACACACGTCTCTGGTGCCGTGTGGTCTGCTGGGGGTCTGTGCCACTGTGCACTGGTGTATGTGGCTCATCACGCTGTGTGTGTGTGTGTGCACTTTGGGGTGGGGTGTGCTGCGTGTGGATGGGCACCTGAGCGATGTGTACGGGGGTGAGGGCGAGCTGCAGGTGGCAAGGGAAGGGCCCGATGGGCGTGAGGACTGAGCGTTAGCAAGTGGCACGCACTCTCATCACGGGAGGTACAGATGGCAGCATGACTTCTCAGCAGGCTATTCTGGGTGGGAACAAGATGCTGGGAACATGCTCATCCTCATATCTGATGCAGAGATGAGCTATCCTTTCTGACAGATTCAGAGCTCAGGCCCTTTTCAGAGCACATGCCTGTGTGTGTGTGAGTGAGAGAGAGAGAGGAGAGAGGGCTGTGGGCCCATGTGGGGGTGGGGAGAACCCTGTCTTGAGTTCTCTTTAGGAAATGAAGGCAAGGGACGCCTGGGTGGTTCCATTGGTTAAGCGTCCGACTGTTGATCTTGGCTCGGGTCATGATCTCAGTTTGTGAGTTTGAGCCCCGCATCAGGCTCTGTGCTGAGGCGTGGAGCCTGCTTGGGATTCTCTCTCCATCTCTCTGCCCCTCCCCCACTTGTATATACTCTCTCTCTTAAAATTAAAAAAAAAATGAGATGATAGAGGCAGTATGAGTGGATCTACATGTTTGGAGCATGACCTCTACCTTGGGCTCGAGACATTAGTCTCTTGGTTTAGTCCCTTTTGGCCACAACAATGTCTGAGACCCAAATGACAGCCACCTTAACCCAACTGGGTCCCAGCTGTGGCCCAGTCCCCAGTCACCTGGGAGAGGTGCAGAAATGCTCACATGGTGCCCGGAATCACCAGCAGGGCCCTGGGTCTCTGGCATGGTGATTGTCCAGGGACCAGAAACTACTCTTTAATGGACCTTTTCTGGGCTGAGGCTTTATCCCAGCTCACCATCACAACAAACTCACTTAAGCAGATTTATTAGACCCATTTCGCAGATGAGGGGCCTGACATTCAGTGAGATGAGGCCACTTGCCCACATTCTCGGAGCTGGTATGCAGTAGGCTTTGACTCTGCACCTCTATACTTCCCTCTACACCTGCCACCAACCTCCCCCAGGATACCACTCTCCATTGGTCCAACTCACAGGGACGACAGCAGCTAATTTACTTTGTAGGGACAGCATCATGTCTTTTCTTGAGAGGAGTAGGAGTTGGGAGAGGGACCCAAGGGGCAGGTCTTTTAACTGTCCACTCCGGGGGTTTTGTGAGTTTGGCGGGGCAGGGTTGAAAAGAACTCCCTGCATCCGTTGTTTGGCAGTGCAGCCAGGGGAGCTGATGTGAACTTGCATGGGGGTGGCAGTCAGGTTTGTAGACATCTGGGGATGTGTGTTCCTTCCTTTGTGTTTGATAAAGGACTCTCAATCCAGGAGGGGAACATCTGAGTTGCTTTCCAGTCTCACACACACACTCACTGCCTGCAGACCACCCAAAGCTCAGCCTTCCCTCCATTTGACAGCTGTCTTTTCCCGCTGTGGCCCCAGGACTGTCACTCCAAGATGGGGGCAGAAGACCACAGAGCCCAAAGGGGCGGCCCTGGAAAGGCCCTGAGAGACCTTTTAGCTCATTTACCTCGTTGTGCTGATGGGGAAACTGAGGCCTCAATTGGGACATTAACTGAGCCTAAAACCTCCACCACACCAGAGTCCTTCCCATTCTGGGACAGGGGAGTGATAAGTACACTGAAAGTACTGTCTGCCTGCCTACCCCTTGCCCCTTCCCTCTCACTCCCTGCCATGACATGTGGAAATTTGTGCAACAGACTCTGACTTACCGAGTAAGGCAGCAACTTCATATGCCTTCTTCTGTTCAATCGTCTCATAATTGAGCGCCTCAAAAAATATATCCAGAACGAGGATGTTCTCTCTGCAGAGGGAATATTCAGTACCACACATGGTGAGAAACATCGGGATCCACACAGGTCATCTAACCTCACTTTCCCATGGATGGAGGGAGGGGCTGAGGCCCAGGAAAGTGAAACTATCAGCCCAAAGTTAGAGCTGGTCAGTTACAGAGCCAGCCTTGGAACCAGGAGTCCTGACCCCCAGCCCAGTGCTCTGGAGGCCCATCTCAGCTGTCCCCTCTTTGTACCTTTCCCACGAGTCCTGCCTGGACTCCAGGTCTCTGGGTCTCCCAAAGGGGCTTGCTGGCTCCTCACATGTAGGTGAGTTCATCATTCTTCTGACAAGCGCTTCATGCTCTTGCCTTGCTTGCCCCCGCTGACCTCCTGGGTGGCCCCTACCCACTCCTGAGAGCCCCCCCATCCCCCCACCACGTTCCTACTTGGATTTGTAACAAGGTTCTCCCAGTGGGAGGCCCTTACGCTCAAATTGCCAAGTCAGCTGCCAGGCTCAGGGAGAACAAATCTGTATCTGGCTGGGGGGTTCCCCTTTCCTCTTTTAGGCAGTAGGCAGGTGTGTTAACAAGACACATCTTGGCAGGAAAAGTCATCGCTGCTGGCAGAACGTCTGCTCAGCAGCAGGGCCTGGCACCCCTTTTCTCTGTCTCCTTCAATGCTGGTCGCAGTGGCCTCAGTGCCCCTTGTGTGCAACTTGCTGAGCCAGAGCTGCCCCAGGATGGGCTCTGGGGGCTGTGTTGGCAGGAGGGAGTGACTGGCGAGAGAGAAGCAGAGCCTCCTCTTCATGCAGGGCTTCCCAAGGCACCATTCAAAGTAAGTGTCACCTTCACTTGCTTGGGTGCTGAGAACTGCCTCCTACCTGGCTGCCTCTCTTTCTTCTGGTTTCCCTTCTGCCTTCCACACTGCCCCCTGAAGGATTGTTCTAAAACTGCTAAAACACCTTACAATTCAGGGACGCCTGGGTGACTTGGTCGGTTGAATGCCTGACTCTTGGTTTCTGCTCAAGGTCGTGATCTCCGGGTTCAGGAGTTCGAGTGCTGAGTAGGGCTCTGTGCTGACAGTGCGGAGCCTGCTTGGGATTCTCTCTCCCTCTCTCTCTCTGCCCCTCCCCTGCTGTGCTCTCTCCCCTCTCAATATAAATAAATAAAACATTAAAAAAATTACAATTCAGGTCCTCAGTCGCACAGGCTACATTTAAAATGCTCAGTAGCCACATGGGGTTAGTGGCTTCCACGCTGGCCCTCACAGATACACAATCTGTGTATCCTCCATCATGATAGAAAGTTCTGTTCTAGAGCAGTGGTCTAAAATACACAGTTGAGGGGCGCCTGGGTGGCTCAGTCAGTTGAGTGTCTGACTTTGGCTCAGGTCATGATCTCACAGTTTGTGGGTTTGAGCCCCACATTAGGCTCTGTGCTGATAACTTGGAGCCTGCTTCAGATTCTGTGTCTCCCTCTCTCTCTGCCCCTCCCCCACTCGCGCTCTGTCTCTCTACAATAAATAACATGAAAAATTTTTAGAATAAAATAAAATACACAGTTGAGGCTGTCACCCACTTGAAGCTCATCAGAGGCTCCCTCTTCTCTTTGGATAAAGTCCACTCCCTGTCCCCCTCTGCTCTGACACATCCACCTGCCCCAGCTCCCTCTGGACATTCTCTTGTCTGCCCTGAGCCTGGGACACCTCCTCTCCCATGACGTTCATTCATTTATTCTGTTATAAGACATTCTTTTTGAATGCCAGCTCTGTGCCAGACACTCCACAGCAGTGAACAAAAGCAGTGAAGCCTGCTCCAGGCTTCAGGGGGCTTTCCATCTAGTGGGGCACACACACGGATATGGAAATTACATCCTCTGGTGAGTGCTATAAAGGAAAACCCCAGAGTGCTGGGAGAGAAATAGAAAAGGAGGAGCACTAATTTAGCTGTTTGAGATGACCTTGAAATGGAGACCTGAACAATGAGGAACCAGGTAGGTAAAGTGTGAGAGGAAAAGCATTCTGGGCAGAGGGAATGCAGTGTGCAAGCTTGCCTGGAAAACTCCTACACATCCTCTTAAACAAGATCTCTGTAGCTGGGGCACCTGAGTGGCTCAGTGAGGTTAAGCTTCCAACTCTTTTTTTTTTTTTATGTTTTTATTTTATTTTTAAGAAAGAGTATGTGAGGGGGAAGGGGCAGATAGGGAGACACAGAATCTGAAGTGGGCTCCAAGCTCTGAGCTGTCAGCATAGAGCCTGACACGGAGCTTGAACCCACCGACCAGGAGATCATGACCTGAGTTGAAGTCGGACGCTTAACCAATTGAGCCACCCAGGCGCCCTAAGCTCCTGACTCTTGACTTCGGCTCAGGTCGTGATCTCACTGTTGGGGAGCTTGACCCCACATCAGATTCCATGACTCTGATAGCATGGAGCCTGCTTGGGATTCTGTCTCTCCCTCTCTCTCTGCCCCTCCCCCACTCGCTTTCTCTGTCTCTCTCAAAATAAATAAATAAACTTTAAAAATTAAAAAAAAAAGTCTCTGAAGCTTTCCTTGAGGGATCCCCGTGCGAGGTGCAGCCAACCGGCCTCTCTTCCTGCCTGCATCAGCCTATAAAGCATTCAGTCCTGCCCTCCTCCCTGCTCAAGACTGTTAGCTCCTTAGAGGTTGGGGAGGCTGCTTCTTAATCATCTTTGTCTTCGCTGTCTGAGTCCTCAACACAGAGCTTGGCTCCCGGCCGAGGGTCAGTTCATGTCTGCCAAATGAAGCCGTCTTCTTCGACTGCCCCATTTCTCCTTGACCCATCCCTGATCCCTCTGCCGACCGTGCCCACCGAGCTTACGAGATATATTTTTCTGATTTGTTAAATTTCTTCTCGAGGTACTTGGCTGACGTCTTGCTGGGGATCTTCACCATGGACAGCTCTTTGTTGTAGCGGGTCAGGTTGCAGGGAGTCCTGCAGAGACAGTAATTACTGTCCTTCTCCGCCAGCAGACCTGCGAGGGCAGAGGGGGCGGGGCTTAGTCAGTTGCGGGGCGGGGCCCCGGATTCCAGCAGCGGGCGGGGCGGGGGGGGGGCATCCGGGGAAGTGAGGGGCGGGGCTGCGGAGACCAGGGGAGCTGGGCTTTGGCTCTAGGTTGGTGAGGGTGTGAGATCTCATAAAAAAGTGCCCACTCTATGTGGTTCTCTTGGTCCTGTTCTCCTTTCACTTTCTTTATTGTGTTGTCCTTTAAAAATTGTTGAAAGGCACACTTTTGGAGACTGGGCTCCCAGGGAGTCCTGACCCTTTCAGCTTCCCAGAGCCTTTTTCTCTGCTCCTAGCCTCAGTGTTCTCATCCACAAAGTGGGCCTCCCATCAGCGGCAAACATAGGACACCATCTTATCTGAAACCCGGGGCTCCATGGCATTCCCTCTGAGGCTCCTTCCTAGCCAGAGCCTACCTTCTCTGCCTGCTGGGTTCAGACACAGGCAAAGATTTTCCATTCCTGTCCCTAGATGCAACCTCCAGGCCTGTGGAAGTCTTCTGCTCCTCTCTTCAACTTAGGAAGGGGTGGCTAAAGATATCACTTCCTTCCCTCCATCTCTCTGATCACGGCAGTGTTACCCATGGGATTCCATACTCCAAAGAGAGACATCTTTGTACATGTCTCTCACTCTCCTCTAAGGCTGGCGCACCCCCCCACCCCCAGCCAGTCCTTCTGGAAGCATCTGGACACAGGAGTCCAGAGCTGTCTTAACTTAGCTCCAGCAAGTGCAGCTGCTGAATGAATTTGTGTCCCTATGATTTAAACACGCTCTCCGCTTGTCTTGATCGTAGATCACTTCCCCGGTGCAGACAGAGGCAGGCAGTGGAGTGAGTCTAGCTTTGGGGTTGTAGTTAGTTTGTGGGATCTCTTGCACCTGAACTTTTCCAGTGGGAGAATCCAGCAGTTATTCCAACCCTCAGTCACCCAGCCACAGGAGGAGGAGGGGGAAATGCACAGCGGCTGCTTCTTCCTCCCCCCCCCCTTTTGGTGCCCACCCAGATGTCCACTGTTCATCCTTTCTCCATCTCTGTCCTTCCTCTGTGCTCCTCAGTGCTCTCCATTCCCCTGACACCCACCTCTTCTCTATCTGCACCTCTCTACTTCCTTTCCCCCCCCCCCCCAGTGCCTTGCCAGCCCTCATCTGCCTGCATCAGTTCCCTCTCTGCCCTCTCTCCTTCCTCCTCTCCACCTTCCTCTCCAGTTCCTGCTCTGTGGTGGCCCCAGACAGCCACTCCTCCTCCACCTCCTCCTCCTCCTCCATTCCCCCTTCCAGCAAATCTCTCCCACACACAGAAGACTCTGAGGTCTCAAGCTTAGCCCCCCACGCCATTTGTCTCCCAGTACTCACCTAGAGCAGGCTCTGCGCACTCCTTGTGCTGCTCAGGGGTACAGAAAGGGGCGTCCCCTGCAAGGAAGAGACACAGGGAGGTACTCAGGCAGCAACGCTTCCCTCCTGGGCTGGGGAAAGAGAAGCATCCTGCGACCGACCGACCGGGAGGTGCCCCAGTGCCCCAGAGCTGGCAGCAATTGTGGGTGCAGGGTACCCAGAACCAGGGGATTGGGTCTGCTCTGCTCTGTGAGCTTGGGCAGGTGAATATAGGGCCTGCCTAGCTAACTCCTCCCAGATTGCTGTGCTGACCCAACTAGCTCAGGTGGGTGATAGGTGAGAAAGTCTTGGTGGCTGAAAGCAGAGACGTGGCAGAAAGCACTTGCTACCTCAGGGCACGCATCCTTGCCTTTAACTCACACAGGTACCTCCTGTTTTACCCCAGAGAGACATGAGGCTAAAGTATCCTGCCTTCCCAGGACATCAAGAGTGAGCAGTGATGGAGGTGGGTTTTGAACCCTCCGGTCTGACGAGTCTGACCCCGAGGCCAGGGTTCTTCCCATCACACAGCTCTGCTGTCTGTGAGGGGGGCTACTTTGTACGTCTCTTGCTCTGCCCTTAATTCCGCACTCATAACAGAGATGCCAGTAACAATGTCATGGGTAGAATGGTTAAAATCTCTACTGCTTGCCTTCAGCTCAGGTTCCCTGGGGGAACCTCACTGGCTGGAGATCTAGTCTGAGCATCAGACAGGTAACATTCACCAGTGCTCTATCGTCCCCTCTGGTCTCTCTATAGAAATCCAGACCCCCCCTCCTCCCTTTTTTAATAGAGTGCTAAAATTAAACCTACCACAATGTCCTTTCCTTACTATTTCCCTAAATACCCTTTTTAAGAGCTGAGAGCTGGTATGCTTCCTTCTTTCCAACAATAACAATGTAACTGGTGTTTCCCTTTTTGCCCTGTCTTCTGGGAAGCGCAGAGGCAATTTTAAAGATCAGCAATTATACAATTAGATTTCTAGAAAAAAATTACTGATTACTGATGAGATAATTAGAATTAGCTATATGCGGGGCGCCTGGGTGGCTTAGTTGGTTAAGCGTCCGACTTTCGCTTAGGTCATGATCTCGTGGTTCATGGGTTCGAGCCCCGCGTCGGGCTCTGTGCTGACTGCCAGCTCAGAGCCTGGAGCCTGTTTCAGAGTCTGTGACTCCCTCTCTCTCTGACCCTCCCCTGCTCACGCTGTCTCTCTCTCCTAGAAATAAATAAAACATTAAAAAAAAAAGAATTAGCTATGTGCTAAATCTGAGCATTGTTTATAACAGAAAACAACTGATAATGAACTAAATGTCTGATATAAGGATTTAGTTAAATAAGCGTAAATAAAGTATGATATAACCATGAAATAGTAGCCACTAAATAGGATAAGCAAAGTTCCCAACACATAGTAGATCATCAGTCTACTTTTGGTTTCCTCTCCCCATGTGCTAATAAAATGACCACTGCCTTTTGCACTTTTATATTTTAGCCTAATTTTATCTTCATAACAACTAATGATTGTGTTTTGGAGATAATGAAGGTGAGAACCGAGAGGTTTAGTAACATGTGCCAGGTCACACAGCAGCTAGGTGGAGGAATCTGAATTAGAAGCCAAGGTCCCTGCCTCCCAGCTTGTCATCCTCCCTTCTCTGTTGCATACCAAACTCTTCATGCTTGAATTAGCCCTGTCTCTACCTGCCCCTCCCTGTGCTTCTGCCTCTGATTCTGACCACCTCTAATAAGATGGCTACGTGCATTGTTAGTCTGACAACAGAAAAAGCAAGACAAGCATATCTATCTATTTGCTGGCTGATGGACTTTTGTCTCATCTGAAAGAGTGCTAGACATTTGGATGCAAGAAGGAAACCATCTGGATGAAAGCAACAGACACCTGGATGTTTGAACAGGTGCCACTCCAGGATGCAAGAATTGCAGGCGCTTTGATACCTGGACACTGAACTCTAGGAGGTAAGAGCAGCAAACAATTAATAAACACGGTGAGCACTGGGAGGAGCATTCTTCAAACATCTGGACACTTATGGACACCAGGATGCTGCCTTGCTTGCCAGACTGGATGTTTCCCTCTGCTGTCCCCAGTTTGGGACCGAATACTAGCCTTTCCCAGAACAGCATCCCTGCAGTCCTTGTGGAGTGGACACAGTGTTTTCTGCTAGGGTGGGAAGAGCACAGAGGGTCTCAGGCAGTCCCCTGGCACTGACCTGGCATGTGCACCATACGACAGTTGCAGTTCTCCACGATGTAGCGCGTCTCACAGTCAATCCGACAGGCGGTGATGCTGTAAACAGGAAAGAAGTCGAGTCCCATCTCTGAGGATCGGCACTCACCCCACGGTGGGGGCAGGTACGTGAGCTGCAAGACAGGAAGGTGGGGGCAGCAGTCATTCCTGGAGATTCAGCATCAACAGCCTCAATATCACATTTATTCCATCAACGAACAATTATTGACCATCTGCTACAGTACAATATAGCTCCATTGACCTCATAGGATTTCCATGTCTGGCTCCAATACTCATTTTCCTGTCTTGTATAACCTTCCCATAAATGCTGATCTCAAAGTCTCTTATATTTGCCGTGTGCCTTTCTACTTCATACTTTGTCATCTCAAATCCCTTGGAATGACCCAACTACACTCTACCCTCTTGGCTGGGAACATTGGGACCCCAGACCTAGACCTGGGGGCCAGAACCTTCAGATGGTCCAGGAAGAAATGGCATAATCAATGTTATTTATGATCCATGGCCCAGACTAGAGCACCCCCCCTTTCCCCAGTGTCATGCTATGGATAAACTCCTTTGGGGAAAATGTCTTTCTTCTCAGAGGTCCAATGACCAGAGAATGCTGTCATGCCTATGGTATGTGCCTGCTGAGACTGGGGAAGGTAAAGGTCTGTGAGGACTTATTATTTGTGAAGCCCCAAGCTGAATCCTTTATATCATTTTTTTTTAAAAATCGGAGAATAAAAAATGTAATAAAATGCATGTTTTTCGAGCACAGTTCAACAAATTCTAAAAAATGTATACACTTGTGAACCTACCACTTAAATCAAGAACCAAGACATTAAAAAAAAGTTTACTTATTTATTTTGAGAGAGAGTGAGAGAGAGCATGTGTGCACAGGTGTGTGTGAGCAAGGGAGGGGCAGAGAGAGAGAAAATCCCAAGCAGGCCCTGCACTGGACATGGGGCTTGATACCAACCTGAGCCAAAATCAAGAGTTGGTTGCTCAACTTACTGAGCCACCCAGGCGCTCTAAGACCCAAGACATTTAAAATCACCCCCCTTCCCCCCCCCCGAATTTATTCCCATCCCTTTCCAATCAATCCCCAACCACCAAGCCAATCTCTGTTATGGATTTGCCTATTCTTAAACTTCATGTAAATGAAAACTTACACTGAGTATTCTTTTCTGTCTGGCTTCTTTTGCTCAACATAATGTTTTTGAGATTTACCCACACGGTTGTGTGCCTTAGTTCATTTTTTTAAAAAATTGCCGAATAGTTTCCCAGTGTATAAATATACCACAATCTGTATCCATTCACCTGATAATGGGCCCTTGGATTGTTTCCAGTTTTTTGTAATTATGAAAAAGTCTCTATTAACATTTATGTACAAGTCAGTTCAGTTTTTGGACACATGTTTTCATTTCTGTTAGGTAACTGGCTAGGCGTAGAATAGCTGGTTTGTTAAATAGGTCTCGGGGTAACTTTGTATACGAACAGTGAAACTGTTATCCACAGAGCTAGTACAGTCTTTCAGTCCCACCAGGAGCGTATGAGAGTTCCAGTTACTCTGTACCCTTGCCAAATCTTGATTTTGTTCATATTTCTAATTTTAGACATTTGTGTAGGGGTATAGTTATATCTCATTTCTATTTGTGGTTCTCTGCTGATTGATGATCTTGAGCACAATTTTATGTGCTAATTGGCCATTCATATATTATCTTTTGTGACATGTCTTTTCAAGTCTTTTGCCCACTAAAACAACTTGCTTACTTTTTACTTTGATTATTAAGCTTTAAGAGTTCTCCATATGTCGTGGATACAAATCCCCTGTCAGATGACATGAACTGAGAATATTTTCTCTATACCTCCTATAGATTGTGGCTGAGTTTTCATTCTTTTTTAATGGTGTATGTATTTCCTACTTATAAAATCCCTCATTAAGATGTCATTTACAAATATAAAATGCCTCAATTTCAATGTATAATTTAATGAATTTTTACAAGTGTGTATGCCCTGGTAACAAGCGTCCTATTCAAAATGCTTAACCATCTCCATTAACTCCCCAAAGTCTCCTCCCCAACCCTCAGGCCATCACTGCTTTCTGTCATAAATTAGTTTTGCCTGGTCTAGGATTTTATATAAATAGAAGCATACAGCATGCACCCTTTTGTATCTGGCTTCTTTCTCTCAGCAGAATGTTTTCAAGATTCATTCATGCTCATGCATGTCTCACTAGTTCATTCCTTTTTATCACTGAATTTTACTTCTTCCTTTCTGGTCTTTATTTTTCATTTCCTTTTCTTGCTTCAGTGCATTGTCCAGAAACTGTATATTGCATAACGTTGGAAAAAGCTGAAGAGAGAAGATATCCTTACCTAGTTTCTGACCATAGGAGGAAAGGGTTCATTACCTCATTATTAAATATGTTAGGCATATATTTTTTTTCTTAGATGCCCTTGTCAGATTGAGAAAGTTCTTTCCTACTTCTAGTTTGTTGAGCATTTTTATCTTTATTGGATATTGAGTTTTGACAAATGTGTGTCCTGTTTTTACTGAAATGATTGCATAATTTTTCTCCTTCGTTCTGTTAATATGGTGAATCATACTGATTGATCTGTAGATGCTGAACCCACCTTGCATTTCTGGCATAAGCCTCGCTTGGTCATGGTTTATTTATTATCCTTTTTATATATTGCTGTATTTGACTTACTAATGTCTTGTGGAATATTTCTGTGTATATGCTTATGAATGATATTGTATTTAATTATTTTCCTTGTGATGTCCTGGTCAGGTTTGGTATTGTGGTTATGCTAACTTCATAAACAAAATTATAAATTGTTTCCTTTCGTCTTTCTCTATTTTTTCAGTTTGTGTAGGCTTGGTATCATTCCTGTCCTAAATGTGAAGCCATCTGGACTTGGCGATGGTGTGTGTGTGTGTGATGATTTTTAACTATGAATTCAATTCCATTAGTAGATTTAGAGACATTCAGATTTCCCATTTCTTCTTGTGGTGGTTTTGTTGTGTTGCTTTCCAAGGAATTTGTCCATTTCATCTAAGTTTTGAATTTATTAGCATACAATTGTATATAATATTCTCTTACCATTTTTTAAATGTCTGAAAAATTGGTAGTAATGCCCTCTCTTTCATCTCTGATATTAGTAAATGGTGTTCTTTCTTTCCTTATTGTTTTTGATTTCTAACTGAATTATGCTTTGATCAGGAAACATACTATCCATGTTCCTTTAAAATTTACTGAGATTGAGTTACAGGACAGCATATGGTGTATCTTGGTGAATGTTTCATGTGCACTTGAAAAGCATGTGCATTCTGTAATTGCTGGTGTAGATGTTTTATAAAAGGCAATTAGGCCAAATTGTTGGATAGTGTTGCTCCAGTCTTCTATAGTTTTACTGAATTTTTCTCTAGTTATTCATCAATTACTGAGTGTTCAACTCTCTAACTCTGACTATAGATTTTTCTATTTTTCCCTTTAGGGCTGTCTATTTTTGCTTCTTGTATTTTTGAAACTTACCATTAGGCACCTACATATTTAAGATTATGATATCTTCTTGAGAAATGGATTCTATTATCATTGTGAAATAACCCTCTTTTTCTCATGCAATATATCTGTCTTGAAATTTACTATGTATACTATAGTCATACCAGCTCTCTTATACTTACTGTTTATCTTCTCGCATTCTTTTAAATTTTGGGGTCCACATTTTACTTTTAACCTGTCGGAATATTTTTATATTTAAGGTACATTTCCTGTAAACAGCCTATTTGATTACTGCTGTTTTACCTCGATAATCTCTGTTTTTAGTTGGAAGGTTTAATACATTTGCATTTAATATTATTCTTGATGCAGTTAAATTGAAGCATACTATCTTGCTCTTTGTTTCCTATTTGTCCCCACTGCTATTTCTTCCTTTGTTCTACTTTCTCTGACTTCTTTTGGGGTAACTGAATATTGTTTTAGCAGATCATTCCATCTCCTCAATTGGCTTTTTGTTTATACCTCTTTGTGTTATTATTATTACTAATTTTAAAGATTTTTTGTTGTTTATTTATATTTGAGGCAGAGAGAGACAGAGTATGAGCGGTGGAGGGGTAGTGAGAGAGGGAGACACAGAATCCAAAACAGGCTCTGAGCTGTCAGCACAGAACCCAATGCAGGGCTCCAACCCACAAACCGTGAGATCATGACCTGAGCCGAAATTGGAGGCTTAACCGACTGAGCCACACAGGAGCCCCAGAAAGCATATTTTATATTTACCCACATGTGTATCATTTTCACTGTTCATCATTCTTTTATGTAGATCTGAATTTCCATTTGCTATCATTTCTCTTCAGGCAGAAGAACTTTTTTTTTTATTATTTCTTTTAGTATGGGTTCACTTGTGGTAAATAGTGTCTATTTTCATTTATCCATAAGATGTGTTAATTTTGTCTTTATTTTTGAGACATATTCTGGCCATGTATAGAATTCCACGTTGTTAAGTGTTTTCCCCCTCACCATTTCAGAGATATTCCACTGTCTTTTGGCCTGTTTTTGATGAAAAATCAGTCATAATTTTTTCATTGCTCCCCTCGATGTATTATGCCTCTTCTCTCCTGACTATTTTTAAGATGTTGTTGTTGTTGTTTTGTTTTGTTTTTAGGATTTTGACTATGCTATACCGGACATGATTTTCTTTGTATTTATCCTGCTTGGGGATCACTGAGGAATGATGTTTTTTAAACAAATTTGGAAAATTTTTAGTCAATATTTCTTCAATTATTTTTCTCCTCCATTCTCTGTCTCTCTTCTTTCTGGAATCCTATTTATATGCATGCTGGTCTCCTTGATACTATTTCATAAATCATGGGTGCTCTGTTCACTTTTATCAGTCTTTTTTCTTTTTCTTTGTGTCTCATCTGAATAATGTCTATTAACCTGCCTTCAAGTTTGGTGTTCATTTATTGTTTTCTATTCAACCTTCTGATAATCCCATTCAATAGTTTTAAAATTTCAGGTAATTGTATATTTTAGGTGTATTTATTTATTTTTTTAATTAAAAAAATTTTTTTTTACAAATAGTTTATTGTCAAATTAGTTTCCACATAACACTCAGTGCTCATCCCCACA